ATACATATGATACAACAGGTAGTTCCAACACAGGATTTCAGTCTGTCTTCAATGTCCTATCAACCTGACTACTACCATAAAGTAACATTCAGCAGTTTTTCTTTGTCATTCAAACGCAGACTGTATGTCCACTAAGATGTAGATACATGAACTACGTGCATGAGAACAGGTACATATATACCTAATTCACATCTGCATGGATGTACCATATATGTATGCTCTCATGCTTTATTGAACATTAGCTTTCCAAGAGTGATTATGGTCAACTTTTTCTCTGTGCTTTTACCGACATGGGGTGGTATTTCTGAAAGAGATGATGAGAAATGGCCATTTTAGAAGTGACAACTCTGCAGCAAATCATGTTCTTGTTCAGTATTAGAATGTTAAACTACACCCCTGAGAGCTGCTTTGGAAAGGAAAGCTTAAATATTGTCCTCCATGAAGAGTATGCTGGAACAATAATGTTTCATAAAACATTAACATTAACACTAAAATATTCAAAACATCCTTGGATTTGCTCCATCAAAATCATGCTTTTTTTTTTTTTTTTTTTAATAGTAGCACTAGTGTCAGTACCACTTTCTAACTATTCTCTTTCTTGAATACAGTTACTGCTAGCAAAACAGTGCCACAGCTGAAGACAAGCAGGCTTATTTTATTAAATAATGTAACTAGTTATTTTTGATGTATTAGTCTGATTTACTGTTTCCAAACAAATTTTTCATTTTAAGTGCAAAAAGTTGATTTCTATGGTCTAGTTGATGTTTTTTCATGCATGCAAATTTTTTAGAGAACATTTTGTCTTTAGTTTCCTGTTATGCACATTTCTAAGACCTTAATGTTTCCTGCTTCCACTTAATATGAAAGAACATTGAACATTTTTGCTGAATGTCAATGAGATAGTTACATTACAGAAATCGTACCTAAGCGACTCTGATACTGTGACTAGGTATCAGCAGAATTCCACTCCATACTGAAAAAGAGTTTAATTAATATAATGCAACCAACATAAAATGGAATCTGCCCAAAATACAATACAAAGGGTAGGAAACTCAACCACCAGTAAATAATGAATTAAGCAGGGCTCTCTTATTTAAAAGATAAATAAAATAAAATAAAATAAAAATAAAAATAAAATAAAATAAAGAAGTCTTGCAGAGGCTTCATAAATATATTTACAATTTATTTAGGTCAGTTAATAGGGGTTTTGTCTCATCAGGCAGGACACGAAGCAGCAGTGGCCTCTCCCTAAGCACCTTCAGTATTTTACTAACAAAGTTACAGTACATTGGAATATTTTAATCTGACACAAAGAACAACAATAGATCTGACTGCTGGGCTGATAATCTTCTTATCACACCCTGTGAAACCTAGCTCTAATATTTGACTGAGCCTCCATTACTCGGCAACACATTCTAAAAAGGCCAACAATGGAGAGAGAATGAAGTGGAGTGTGGAAGTACCTCCATATCTACATAAAAGAGATTAGAGGCGACAGCGTTCCATTTTACAGCTCAATCATATTGTGTTAGCATGCGCTTATCCGAGCGCGGATGAAATTGAAAGAGAAATAAAAAAGAGTCAGGCAGATAGGAACCAGAAAAGCGAGGCATGAGCAATTTCCAAGGATATAAAAGGATGCTAATGGCGGGGCCCTGTCATTCTTAAAAAGGGCTATTAGGGCACCATCATCTGTTCTTGTGCCCTTACGCTCCTCTAACTAAAGTCAAGCATTTCCTAATGCCATTGTGATCTTTTTCTTCTTCAGATAAGACATGGTCATGTTTCATAACAACACACTTTCCATTTATTTGATTTATAAATGCAAGGAGACTAATTCTATTTACTGATAAAGGCTTTCCATATATATTTTTCTTTCAATATTTCCTTTTGTAGATGGCATAGACTTTTTGTTCAATGAAATTAACTATTGAAATGTTTCCAATAGCATAAAAATACTAATGATTTTATGAAAGCATTAGAACTTTGGATAATTTTAAAACATTTTTTAGTCTATGACTGCAATGGGAAATGGTTGGCTGGGTCAGAATGTATATTGCATTGTTACCTTTTTACAGATAATCTCATTTAAAGACTTTCTGTTGGAATAGTAAAAACATTATTTTGGTTTTTTTTTTTTTTTTCCCACAAAGACAAATTTTACTTTGAATTGCAATGCTTTTCAGCTGAGATCTTTATTAGTTGTTAAGTACCTGATATATAAGGGCCTTTAATTATACCAAACCTTAAGGAATTGCTATAGTAAAGAAAGATTTGCTAATTGCTGCTTTGCTGTGCTAGGCACAAATTCACTACGGGTATAATTCATCGATTCCAAGAGATTTACACCAAAGGATTTACGTAGTCCACTAAGCTACAGTGAACTGTTTTTCAATTTGCACCCTTTTTCTAACATCCTTTTCCCATTTCTTTTATGTTTCTGCCTACAGTACCACTTCTTAGCTTAGGTAACAGCCAGCTAGCACCAATCCAGCCTCTTCTACAACCTGTTTTGTGCCAGACGTTAGCTGAGCATAGGCGCCCATGTTCAGCAGAACTCCATCATTCACAACTAAGCTACAAAAGCTCATCACATTTGCCCTTTAGCATGTCAAGCCCTTTTGCTTTTTGATTTTTGTGATCAAATGCCAGACAGCAAGCACAGATTTTATCACTGCCCTCTGTTACCACAAGGCTTATAAAAAGATTGTCTTTATTTCCTGTTTTTGTTTGTTTGTTTGTTTGTTTGTTTGTTTGTTTTGTTTGTTTTTTTGGTTGTTTTTTTTTTTTTTTTTTCCTTCTCATTCCTAAATGGAGTCAGGTGAGTAAACTTACCTAGTGTGGCTTTACCATGGCAAGCGTGGTTTTGGGTTTGCCTTGTTATAAAAGGCTGCATCATGCCAGAAATGTCCCTCAGCTGGTTCAAATCACAGACTTCCAATTTTCAAGGCCAGCTTAGAGCACCCAGTACCTTTTCCACACTAACCAAAGTCATCATTTTAAAGGCTGCTCAGACTCATCCCTCTGCTCTTCCTACCCCTCCAGCCAAACCAAAGCTACACAGCATATTCAAAAATAAAACCAACAGAAGTTCCCCAGGAACTACTATGGAGCATGACTGACTTCATTGAGAACTACTCTGTTTTGGTTAAGGTGATCTAGGTATCTTCCAAAGATGAAACTCAAACTCACTTATTTAACTCATTTTGACTTAATTTGGGGTGCTTTATTAGCAAGCAGTGTAAGACAAAGTAGCTACTATAATATAGAGTGATGTTTAAATTAGTTTACAATTTGCTTGGGCTCATCTAGAACTACTCTGAACAAAGCCATTCAGAAATGTCAGCTGTGTTCCTAACCACTGTAACAAATTGTTGCCTGAACGCTGCACACCTAATGACTTCAAATTAGCTTCACTGCGATATTGCCTGACAGTTCGTTACGACTGTTAGCAGCATAGCTGGCGTATCATGACCAATAAATTGGTTTCAGTGTGGGCTGGGAAAGGGACTTCCATCAATTTGATTAAAGAAATTACTGTAGCATTCAAAGCATAAAGACAAACTAGTTTAAGGAGACAGAAATAAGTTAACTGTACCAGAAAAACATTGCTTGTGATACAAAAGCTTGTTTATACACCATTTGTAGCACAGAGAATGACTAAATTTCACCTGTGTTGCATACTGACTGCTAGAGTCTGTAGGTTGTTGTCTCTCATCTGAAGAAAAATAATGCTCCAGAAATGTACAAATTATTTTATTATTGTTATTTGTTATTGTTTATAATTATTGAAGATGACCCAGAGGCACATACTTGCAGAACTGAAGCCTTGTGCTGGTTGGCACAAGGGAAAAAACCCAGGAAGACTATTTCTAGTTCTTTATGATTTCTTTTGATACTACAAATAAAATAGATTTAACTTTGATAAACAAACAACTGACTGGATTATTGATTCTACTATTAAGGTATCCCAAAATCACATTTGAAATGAGAATGATGTATTACTTAGAGGAATTAAAGGTTATCCATTCTTACGCTCCATAAGGCTCCACTATCAAAATTAGAAAACTAATGAGCTGATGAAAACACACCAACATGCTCACTCATCTGCTGGACTAGAAAAATACCTTAAGAAACAAGAAAAAAAGGCAACCTTTTTTGTGTGACTCTACCGTTTGTGAAAGGTGACAGACTGAGAACCCTGGAAACTCTCTGTAAGTTTGTCTGCTAGCTCACAGAGCAAGCACAAATACCTCAGCACTGGTGGGGGGAGGAGGGAGAAGTAAAATATACCTGAAATGTTATCTGAAGAAACCACTAATCTTCTGAGAAACTGCTTTTTATGACCCCCCACTCTTCTTGCTAACAAGAGTGCCAGTCAGGTTTTATAATATCAATACACTTACATGATGTAGACTACAATCCATTTCATGCAGACCAAGGAGCTACCAAGCTATAAGAAGAGACCTTTTGGTACAATTCAGTTCTCTCTATTGAACTGCTGGTACAATTCAGTTCTCGCACTAGTTCATTCAATGAAGAGAACAATTCCTCTGTGCCATGCCAAAACATAAGTAAATTTTTGCACCTCCTGTGGTCAATATAAGATAGTGCTGCATTGATATAATACAGAACCAGACTTACATTCAACTACTGCCAAATTAGATGAGTACAGAGGAATGGGCTTACACTACCCTTTATACCAGGTTAGTGCTCTGGATAGCAAGGTAAGTTTACCTTAATAAAATGAATACATGAAAAGAATTCATTCACTGAGCAGCATGCAAAACTTACTAACATAGTAACACTCATAGCAACAATAATACTATTTCCAAGGTAAGATATATTATCATCTAACATATGTCTTATGTGAATAACCCAGAGCCTTAAGAAAACTTTGTGCATTGTAGTGAGAGAACAAATCATATTTTTTACTGAAACAGAATAACCCATGCGATGATTTCTGTACGTTGTCTGTTTGCAAGAAATATTGTATGTACCTGGAATATGTTTAGCCCATCCAATGATCACCACCAGTTCTCTGTCTGCCAGGTCACAAAGAGTGGTAAGTGCTTTGATGTCACTGTCTGGAACAGTGGGGTCAGGCATAGCATAGATCTTCTCTGGTTCAGCCACCAGCAAATGGGAGACGATCTTGTTATCTGTAAAAATGATCCAGAACAGCACAAGATCACCAGTAGCATCATTCTACTTTGCAAACAGATGGCTCATATTTCTAAGAGCACAAGAATTTGTCTTAAGATACCTGATCTAATGAAACCTTATTATAACTTCACTGGCTTCTACAAGCAGTTACAGCACAAACAAATCTGATTCATTAACAATGTTTATCAAGCTAGACAGCTATGTTCTTAATAGTAAATTTAATGGAATATAGAAATACAGGATCACCTCCCCATATTGGAATATAAATTGTAGAAAAGTTTTTGTGCATTATAATGTATTTTGGACTGTGCAACTAGAAAAGTTATGCCTTTCTCTAATTACCTGCAAACCTCCCCCATCCCCAAAGGCAGGTGTATTTTTTGAGCAAATAAATACCACAAGCAATCAGTCAAGTCACTCAAATCTGTGAATTCTGTCAGTGGTACCAACTACCATTTTTTATTTTAGATGTCACCATTAAACTGTTGCAACAAAAATGGTCTCAGGACTTTCCCAGTACCCATTACCCAATATATCTTATATTATGGGTATCCTGCCTGTTGAAATGTTGAGATCAAATCCGTATTCCTTAGGGCCCATGCTGTGAGAAAAGCGGGTTGTTATCTTATATTTGCTTTTCAGTAAAACACACAAATTTAGAATCATGTATAAAATTATCTTCTTCAAGTACAAAAATAGACTAATGATCTCCTCTCATTTCCAGCCAGGAATAGGTATTAAAATCAATGAGAATAATGAGTGTAAAACTAAGGAAAGTATCAATAGATGCAGACTCTACCTCAGAAAACTGGTTTTGTGCAAAGAATGATACTTTATCTTATTCACACACCAGTTAATTTTATATATATTGCATTTTCATTCAAATGTTAAATATTTACTTTTTCATGCAGATGAATTGTGAAATCTATTTGGAATAATCAATTAAGTTATAAGGAAAAGTGAAGAGAAAAAACACAGAGTAAAAGAGACTAGAAGATTTGCAATACAGTGTTGCTATTCTATAAGTAGGATAAACATAAAATGATCATCCTATCCATGTGGAGGCACAATGGAAATATCCTGTCTCTATACAGGAGCCTGATTTGTTACTCTGGGAAGGCAGAACTGAAAAATGGGAAAAGGACTGATTCATTAAGCCTCCTAGTACAAGATACATTACTATACTTGCCAATATATTTACATCTTACTTTTCATGGTAGGTACATATCTTGTGACCTCAAATGCACCACCAGAATTTAAAGCCCAAATGGCAACCTTTAGCAAATTTACATGAATCTGTTCCCTTCATTAGGATAGAGCTACAGAGCTTGATAGAAATGGGATTCCACTGTGAGAAGATATCAAGTATTTTCTGACTGCAGAGAAAGCTGTCAGAATCAGCATAACTTTCCCCTGCTACATCTAAGTCACAGGATGGACCACACTGTCCTCCTGTGGGAGAACTGCAATGAAAGCTGATGGGGATGTGACTTGCCCAGTAGTGTCAGAGAGGCTCCCTATAAACCCATGACAGATTTCCATAAAATACTCACTTGATTCAGATTTCTGATACTTTACTGCTCTTTTGTGACATAGACTCCTCGATTCTGATCTACTGTCTCTACAATTTTTGCCTTATTCCAAATTTGTGTGTCAGAAGTTGTGATATATGTTAGCCCTTCATAAAATAAGTGCAGGAGCCAACTGGAAACCATTACATCAAGCATGTTTTATTACAGGGGGTATATTCATGCTTTATATGAACTACAGAAAATACGCCAAGTAATTCTTGATCTTAATATTCTGCTGATTATCAAACTGATTAATGAGGAATTCTATTCTTATTTAGAGATGACAGATGGTAGTTTTAACTTATATTGGCAAACAGCATTTGCACATAATTTTAAAAATTTTTTAAAGTCTTTTCATATCCTGCTTAATTTCACACAGAATACAAAACGTTTTTAAGTGAGAAAAGATAACATTTCTTCTTTCCAAATTAAAATATTTTTACATGTATTAAAAAGTAGGATAAATAGTGTTTCTTAACATCAAAACATATGTAGCTGAGGACTTCCACTTTGTGGTTTTTTAACCAGTGATGAATGAAGCAGCACTCATACCCCCAAGTTCTGTTGTTTTTTGTTTGTTTTTTTTTTTTTTTTCCCTGCCAAATTGCCAAAGAATCGCTTTCATTTTTTTTATTAGGTTCCTCACCAATGGCTCTTTGTAGATGATTCAGGAATACTGTATAATTTGACTCAGGATTTGCAAGATCTCAAATTCTTTTTACTTTTGTAATCAACAAGATCTACAGGCAGGCCATTAGATTCCATGGGAAGCTGGAAAATACAATAGAGACCAGAAGTAGGCGTAGGGAAGATCCTCCAAACATCTGTTCTTTCCCTATAGGGGGAAAAAGCTACATGTATTGGAGCATGCATTAGTATAGGCCATAGGAAATTTCTGAATGTACTCAAAAAGCTCCATCACTCAGGAAACTGAATAGCCATGAGCACTGTTTCTAGGTAAATCTTATTTAATGTTTCCCTAATTAGAATCAATAGAACCCAATTTTCATTCCTGTGCCTTTATTATGCACAAACTATCAGTCAGGGTCCAGAAAATCTCCCAGGCTACTTCCATACAAAACTGATTCAACTGTTTCAAGTCTTGACACTTATCTGGCAGGATATGAAAATTAAGCTTTATAAATATTTGTTACAAAAAATGTTTGTAATTTGATGAGCGAAGGAACATGAAGGGAGGCACTTAGATAATGAGTAATGATTTATAAGGAGGTTAGTTTATCTCAGACAAATACAGCTTACTGATATTGGTGTAGTTATCGTCTTAAAGGTAATGTAATGCACTACTTGCAGTAATCTTGGATTTACACAGAGATTCTTGTGTTTCAGTACAACTGCGCTAACCTCTATTCATATTAAAGGGCTTGGGGTTTTGTGGTCAGATTTTTTTTTTTTCCCCTGTTTGGTCTTGGCTTTTTTGGTATGCTAGACTATCAACATTTCTACTCAATGACAATATCAAGTAAATGAAAAACTGACAATCTGTGCACCCAGGAAAACTAAACCTCTAATGAAATTAAGCATTAGAGTTTATTAAATTTTATTGTATTATCAGAAAGTTTTTATTATAATGTGCAAAATCTGCTTAGTGCAGCCCTAGATTGTATTTACAGAACAGTGGGACAGCTTATGGAGGCTGAGTAGAAGATGCCAGATTGGACAATTGAAGGAATATAATCAGCATAATGTTTTTTGGAAAGGCAAAAGGAAACTATGCCATATGTTCACTTAAGCCTTAATTTTATGTAAAACTGGCTGTTTTTTCTTTGACACAGCTAAAATGCCCTTTCACTTACAGTTCAAAGACTGTTTATTTGCTCTCCAGATCCCCATATGCTCAAACGTATTGTACACAGCACTGTCACCTACTGGGGAACATGCACAGAAACAAATTCCATTTTCCATACAGCCAGGTATTTTCAAGAGCCTAAAACTGACATATGTGTTGTCAGAGGCATAGGGGCAGAGGCAAATGGGAGACAAGGAGGAGTTTGTCCTCCTTATTTCTCTGGATTGTTTCTCTATTTTAGGAGCAAATTAACCTTCCTGGGAGGTGCAACTGGATGTGTGTATTCTCATTTGAATTTGGAAGAGTTTACAAACACCTGGCATAGCCTGCATGCCTTTGCAGGGTAATATACTAGCCTCTTGCACCACAGCTATAATGCTATTAAATTTACTTCATGGAATTAGTACAGTCGCTGCTTGAGTTTATATAAGCTGCAAAGCAAAACCCCTAACTATTTTTAGTTAATCGCAAAGAGGATGGAACTTGTATTTTAGCAATGAGATGATCATCTCTCTCTCTCTCTCTCTCTCTCTCTTAATTTCAGCCTGGCGAGATATGATCAAGGACATTATTAAAACGTAACAAAACAAAGCAAAAGAAATTCATGAGGGTACTAGCGCCCAGTAACTACCAATCTATGCTTGTTATTAGTGTGGCATATTGCTGTTTTAATCTAACGCTAGATAGTGCATTAATCTACAGGTATAAATTAATGAGGCTCTTAATGTATTTTCATTGGGAGGTTGAGCAGTCAAACTCATTTAGTTAGTGAAAACTACAAAAATCACTTTCTTGTGAAATCTGAAACTAGAAGCTTCAATGAACTAATGATCACAGTAAGAACCATTTTATATACCACTGAAAATAAAGATAACCTGTAAATGTAAAATTTGCACTGCATAAACCATGCTTTTATACACTTCCACCTGTAAAAATATTCTTTGTTCAACTCGACTTGAGAAAGATGAGCATATTTAAAACCAAGTATGTTAACAGCTAAATGGATACAGTGTTCATGGTAGTATCTTCTGACCAAACCCTTGTCCCAGTCAGAAGGAGCTTAGCAAACAGGGCTAGGAGTCAATATTTTGTATTCAAAGACAAATTTTGTGTATCTGGTGTACTCACATGGCTTTTTTGCTGGCTGAACTAGCTGAGGGTTCAGGTATGGGCTATTCTCTGCATCTATTCTGCGCTTGTACTTCTGGCGACCTCCACGTACTCTGTCTAGGCGGACACCTACATTGGGAAAAATAAGCAAACATGTAATTACATATATTATGAGGATGCCTTTCAGGTAACAATCTTCTATCTCCTGCTTTCCAATAGTTATTTAAAATGCATATTTATTTAAAAAGATTATTTTTAGAAAGCAAGGAAAAGCAGAACTACAAGTATTGGCAAGCTATTTAGATTTTCACATGTGCAAGACTAAGTATACAACATAATTTCCTGTTCATTTAAAACCATTTGTTTAACATACTATTAAAACCAGCTAACATGTTTAGTTTCCATTTGAAAGAATGTAATCGTAAATCACCTTTGCTAGAAGTTCAAAGCTGTAATAAACACCACGGATATACAAGGTTAACGTTATAAGTAGAGAATTACAGAGAATTAGAATTTTAGAAACAATGAGTGCTGTATACAGTTTAGATTGTCAAAACCAATGCTTTTAATTAACATGGATTAACATGGCCAGAGTATACAAAGTACGTATCCTTAGTGAAATAAGAACATGTGGCTTAAAGACCTGAAATGGTTCATGAGGGTTTGAAAGAAATTGTATGGCTGTCCATTTAGATGTCATCAATGATGAATTAATATTTGTGTTCTACCTCCATATTGTTCATTGCTTCAATAAAGCATTCTGCTACTTTTTTTGTATGTATATATAGGACTTTTCCTTCCTGAAACAAGCTGTAGCTGCTCTCATAGACAAAATGAAAAAGGAGGGGGGAAAAAAGATGGTAGATCCTATAAAACAATGAAATATTTTTATTTCCTTCTGAGTCACCCAAGAAGATTTCCAGACAACCAGGATGAATGTCAGTATAACCAAGTAGTAACGTAACACTGAGGCTGAAAAACTCAGCACCTTTGCAGGGGAACAGGACAAGTAAATGCCAAGTGTAAAATTTGTCCCTGATGACATGAATTTAACTACACAAGAATGCAAGGACACATTACGTATCAATGATCCCTGTGAGCAATGTAATAAAGTGCAGCTTGCTTTCTCACTTTTTTTTTTCATCGTCTATTTTAGCTCTCCTCTCTCAATTTATCTTTTCTATTGTCATTATTGTGCCCTACTCTACTACTTCCCCCCTTCCCACTACCTTCTGATCTCTCCCTTGCAGGAAATACCTCCAGAACCAGCTTCTGGACAGCAAAGAAGACACCACCAAAGAAGTTACAGTTTCTGTGAACAGCAAGAACACCGCACAGAGATTACGTGCTGCCCATGAACTGGCACTGGTAACACAGCCTAGTTACCAGGAACCATGTCAGTCCTCTTTCATCCTCAGAAGTAAAAGAGGATTGACTGGGTTTTGATGAAGAAAAGCCATTTTGCCAAATAGCCAGAAATCCAAAGACAACTCCTGTTGGTTTGGTTTTGTTTCTTTTTCTATTATATTTCTTGCCTTTTTTCTTTTACTGTTCTATCTCCTACTGTCCAAGATGGCATGAAACTAACACACTAGAACACTCACGAGCTGAACCACAGAAGATGGCAGTTTACAGATCCAAGTCTGTACTCCTCTACCAGCAGGGAAGGCTTTCTGTGCAGGGGGTTCTCATTCACCCAGACAGACTGTTGGCATCTATAAAGGTTAGTAACGCAGGAGATACCTGGCTTAAGGATGCAACCAATGTCTGTAACTATAATGCAGTGAATTGCATACAACAGTGCTAAATAATTTTTGCTCACCAGGAAAATGGGCAATGATCACCTCTATTTAATAGTGAAATTTCATTTGATTTACTGCAGAAGACTGTGTATTTCACTCCTTCAAACTCAGGAAGGACATCCTCACTGTATGTTACCAATTATATTTATGTGAATCATATTATATAAATAATAAAAACAATCAACCACATATCCAAAAAGGTCAGTGTATAATTATGAATGAAATCTTATATGTAGTATTTACCTATTTCACTACCAAACTTGTGACATATTTGTGGTCTAAACTATCTTATAAAATTCCTAGTGATTCAGTCACCAAAGCACGGTTACTTTCTGTTTGTTTTTGTTATACTTAGAAATGCATGAACTATAAAAACACTTTAAATAATAGATAGTCAAAAGCTTTTCAGAGCTAATGATAACTCAGTGTTCTCCACCCCTGAATCGGGAGTTTGAGCTACACCCGGAGCAAATAACATCCAGGACAATACCCTGACATAAAAACAAGTATCAAAAGATCAAGGTTTGACAGTTGAATATTTGGGAATAGGAAGAGGATTAGAACAAACCACATGTGATATTGGTGGGATTATAAAAAAGACTGCCCAGCAGTTGAAGAAAAATATATAGAAAATGATTTCTGCATAATTCAGATGCGATACTTCTTTCTGCTTGGGAGCAGATTTCATAGTGATAAAAGATGGATAGCATCAGATAGAAGTATGTTTAATCAAAAAGTAATGGAACTGAAGCTTAAATTAAAATAATATAAATCTACCAAGATGAACAATTTTTTTATCTCCTTTGCAATGGAAGGAAATATAGATGAATATCACAACAGCAGAATTATACAGAGATTCATGTACTAACCTATTATACATAGTTATACCTATAAATATAGCTACTTTCTTTTTTTAAAAAGAAAAAATTCTAATTCCAAATAACTGACAAGTAACAGTATTACACATTTTAAAATTACCTAAGTCTATAATATAACTAATTCCAATTCTAATGTGAAAACATTTTTGATAACATAATACCAAGAGAATATAAATTAGAGGTTTAAAACCTTTTCATTAGAACTGATATGGAGTTTACCACCATTTTAGCTCCTAAGCTTTCCTTGCTCCTAGTATCATTACAGAGTAGCTATTTTAGAATCAATTTCTGATAATCTACACACCCTAAGTGGTACTTTAATTCCCGAGAGTCTTTATAGAAGTAAACACAATGCAAGACACCACTTAAGAGAGCATACCCATGTGATATTCCATAAAAACTCTGAGTTTGGAGTGTAGCAAACTGAAATCCATAGGTTCCTGTGTATAAGCATGCATCTTCCACTGTAACTCTTGTAGCTTATATGAGAGAATTCATTACATAAAGATATTTTTATCATCTCTCAAGACAGTAATGGCTGATGACTTCTTTGTTAGAAAAACAAATGGAAGAAAGAAAACAATTTTGTCCACAAAGATCTTTGCATTTGGGGCAGGAGGGTCTTAACATCTTGATCACAGTAATTGCTATAATTCAACACATACTCTGAACTCAGACTATTACAGAGGATCTTGTGGCATTTAGCTACAGTACTGGGAGAAGTTTAAGTAGAGCTCTGCTTTAACTCTGCTATGCATGTGGCTTGCCAGAGTCTTCAGCAACTCCATTTGCTGACCCTATCAGTCCTCAACCATAAAGTGAGAAGATATCCACCCCACCTGTACAAATTCGTGGCACATCTCCAAATGAATTGTGCTGGATGTATTATCACTACAGTTTTTTAGGGTCAAAACATCCATTCATGTCACTGAATAAAGCTCCACTGAAGACAAGCAAGTTGATTCTCCACATTCCTCAATACTGAGTGTTATTTAAAAATTCAACAGAAAAACAAAATCAAAAGGCCAAATGAGAAAAAATAGGGATAACCACAGGGTGTTTTATTTGGTACAAACAAAAAGAACAAGCCTGCTACCAGTTATGATATGATTTCAACAGTCAAGTGCAACATATTCACTTTACACCTTAGGACAAGTACAACTCACTAGCTCATCTGTTCAGTAGCGATGGGCAGTCACACATTTTGATGTAATTTACAAAGCTGGTCTGGTGGAAGGTGTTCCTGCCCCTGGCAGGGGGTTGGAACTAGATGGTCTTTAAGGTCCCTTTCAACCCAAACCATTCTATGATTCTGTGACACTAGACACTTTCTCTTAAGTGAAAGTGTCCACATAGTCTTGCACAGAAATAACTGAAGACTAGACCTGATGTATACAATGAGTTACCCACCAGGTACTTCAATCTAAACAAACTTAATGTAGGAAAACCTTTTCTCTGTATTCTCTCATCTATTCCTCCCTCACCAACAGATGCAAATTATTACTCCTTTCTGTACTCCTTTTCTCACACTGTCTTGAACCCCTTCTGTGGGACAGGCACCCCAATGTGACTAGTGTTATATAATCAAAAAGACTGCCCTTACCACTGTATGTCATTCTTTTTGCAATTCTGGTCCTCAGTATGATAATCATATTTAACAGTGTCATCTATTTCTCCATACAGATCCAAAGATCCAAGCCATATCCAAAGTATACTCTTTACTCCTTTGTAATCTACCTCTCTTCCTGTTTTCCATCCCCTCCTTCTTACCTCAGCTGCAAGTCTTCAATGTCTGTTTGTCCACTTGTCCCACAAACATTCTTGTCCTTTCCATGGAGCTCTATACTCACAGGAAATCCTCAGGATAACTTGGAAGGCATTAGTCCAATCCTTCAAATGAAGACCTACTAATACCAGGACTGCCTGTAAGAAATTGCTTACTACCTATAATTGGGGATAGCTTTTTATTTTGGAAAGAGCAAATCTAATTAAGTTAAATATGAACTGATATCTGAATAAATCAAAATTCCCTCTCTTCCTTCCAATACATCAGTAAAGAACAGGTTTGAGATCAGGACCAAAACCACAAATTAGACTTCCCATTTAAATTTCGAATTCTGCTCTCTTTCCATTGTCCCTATGTGAAATTTATGGAAACTAGACACATTCTGCACTGATGCCGTCCTGGCAAGCTTCGCTTCTAACACAGCACCCTCTCTGTATAAAATATATTCCTATCTCAATTTTTTAGATATGTAACTGAGTAACAATCTTTTTTCTATCGATGTCTGTAAGATTCCAGGCATTGTCTTAAATTTTACAGCGAGACCAGTAAGAATGGATACACACATAACTGCACCTTGCCAAGCTTTAGAGGAACATCAGTAGCAGAAGCAAAAAAAAAAGATTAACAGCAAAACTGAAAACAGCAAAAGGAATTTTAATGGCA